TCAGGACCAACTCCCTCACTTCTATCCAGATCCCCCAGCAGGTCAGCTTGGTAAGCCTGGAGCACTGCCATAGTGTGCAGACATGCTCCAGCTTGACCTGCTGCCGTATAAGCTTTGCCCACTAACACCGAAGTTGCTTTAAGCGGTCTAGTGGGCAAAGCTGAGGCCTTCAGAGACGATGCTGGACCAGGTGACAGATAGCTCGCGAGCGTCTGTTCAGCCTGGAGCATCGCCTCATAACCGTACTCTTTCAGCCCTCTTATACCTGAATATAAATGAACTTGAGGGCTGAAAAGTCGTGATGAGTACGGTTTATCCCATGATCTAGATAACTCATTATGTAAATCAGGAAAAAAGGGAAGGCCTCGTGGTGGAGATGATGTAGCTGAAGAAAGGAAACGCTCGTCTAATTTACTTTTGGGACGAGCGCCCCTTTTCTCAGCTGGCCATTCAATATTTAATTTTTCTACAGCCCTAGACATCACATCCACCAGCTCCTCATATGCTGGGGAAACAGGTGGCGAATCTCTTTCCCCAGTGTGTGTGCTTATACTCTCCATACTCATCACATCAACCTCCTCAGAGGAAGAGCAATGAAGTAATGGAGGGCTCTCTCCCCGGGCGGAAGAAGCCGCAGAGCGGGCTTCCGACACCGGGGGGAGAGCACTGGATCCTCCGGGTAAGGAAGGAGAAAAGGCCCTTTGGACCCGTCTCCAACCCCTCCGAAAGATCCTTTTGCAAACCCCAGGAATGCATTCTCCGTGCTGCCTCGGCAACAGCGGGTCCTGCACCCTGAGGATCGCGAACCTGACCACTCTCGTCAAAGAGTGACAGGCGAGAGCGGAGCATGCGAAGCGGAAGCATCTCGCAATGCTGGCACTCAGCCCCCTCGAAGGCTGAGACCGCATGCTCCACTCCCAAACAAACGACACAAAGCTCGTGTGTGTCCCCACCCGTTAAATAACGCGGGCAGGGAGAAGCACACTGTTTGTACATTTGTTTCGCCATAACTCTTTCCAATATATATGCAACAGACAACAATAAATAGACAGAGACAGAGTAAAACAGATCGCTTGCTGAGACACAGAAGCTAATGCCGGTTTGCACCGGATGTGCTTTTATCCCTTCCCGGTCATGACGTCACCCGCCCGTGACGCTCATTCTTTCCATTGGACTAGTTGACATTGATGCTCAGACGCATTCACGCTGGGGGCGTTCCCAAAGCGTCGATGACGCATTGCGAGTTCCCTCGAAAGGGAACTTTTCTAGGTTGTGCTGTTGAGTTACTGATGTTATGAAGTGTTAGTGCACCTGTCGCTCATATAATTTAAACTTATAAACTTATTACATAAAGATCATGGAAAGATACCATAGTTGTATCTAACAATGAACAATCATAATCACAAAACAGAAAACATAAAGATCATTGGTTTGTGTACATCATAATATGATATTTATACACAGGAAAAAAAACAATAACAAGGCTAAATATCTTTAAATAGTTCTTCATAATACATTAAAAATTGTTTTGTTATAAGTCTGAGGGATGAAACGAAAGGTAAATTCATCAAGAAAAGAGGAAAACTTAAAGGAGAAACTTTTTGGGTATAAAATAAAGAAATTAACGACATATTCAAGAGATGACGATTTTGGGGTTTCTTAAAAAAAAATATATCGTTATAAGGATAAAACTGTGGGTCACATTAGTAGGGTTTAAAATATAACAACTTAAATCAACCCTAAATGTATTCACAAAATAAATTGGCAGCTGTTTCTTCAACAATACCACAAGATGAGCAAGTTTCATCAATATCTAGATATTTACAGATAGATGAATTAAACGTGTCGTTCATATCTTTTAAGTTGTTGCGCAGTAGGTCACATGATAACGTCAACATGGCAGATGATGTCCGGATCGCATTCATACTCAACGAGATTTGCCTATAAAGTACCTACTCTTTTAGCGCTCGTTAAGTAAGTACTCATTGAAATTAAGTACCTACTCATTGAGTATGCGATTCCGAACGCAGCCCATAAGTCCTCTCATTTTAATTTCTGTATATTTGATGAAATTGTAACTATGACTGACAAGCTCAATCTCAACCTACTGTCCTGTTACCTAAATTATTTCTTAGATTTTATTTGTTTATTTTAAAAATATTCACTTTTCGTAAGTCACAAGAAATTGCTCAGTGTCTTCATGCTATTAACATGTAGCTATGTGGCCATATGCCATGTATTTGATGACTTTTTGCTTAAAAACTCAATCCTGTTACTTTCAGTCCTGTTGCTTATATGAAAAATAACAGGAGTGAGTTAAAATAACAGGAGTGAGTAGAGTCCTCTGATTTAATACTGTAAATATTAGTTGATATAATAATATTCATTATTATTATAAATTATGAGTTTTAAGGTTGCAATTACTTATAATGTAGACATTAGCATTTGTTTTACAATGTGAACAATACTTCCAGGAAGCTAGTCCACCACGAGCTGACTTGAACGTTTTGTCTTTGTCTTTCTTATATTTTGTAGAAGATGGAGAAAACCCATACTATGCAGGTGCTAGAAACACTCACATATGGCATATTGCAATGGAAGGAGCTAAACACACCCGCAACCCTTTCTTTTTCCCCCTTTTTTGTCTTAACTTCCCTTTTTCTCCCTCCCTCTCTCTTCTTCTCTCTCTCATTCTTTCTCTTTCCACCTCCTTCTCTGTGAAGTACTACTAGCGCATAGTACACCATTTCAACACAAATCTTATGCACACACAGTCATGTACACTCTCTCTCATACACACACATATGGACACTCATTCCTGTTACAAAGTGTTCATTCCTGTAACTATTTTTTTTATTTTTTCTAAAAAAATAAAGTTAAACCAGTGTTTTTATCAGTTTTGTTTGGCCCATCATTTATACAATAGTTTAATAAATTAAATTATTAAAACAATTATAAACTTGAGGGTTTGGTCTTTAAAATGAAAAAATGGCTTTGTGTTTTTTATTAAAATACATCTTGCCTTAATATATAGTGATTTATTTTCCACAAATATCAATTATTTGAACATATAACCAACAACTTCTTTAAAATAAACACTTTCTTGTGGGGAAAGCAAAGGAATTAATTGACATGCTTTTAAACATGCTTTTTAAATGGCACATAAGTTTCGGTAACAGGACTGAGAAAATATGCGTCCATCTTTTGCTTAAACCTGGTAAAAAAAAAAATAAAGTTGCCTGATATTGACCAATACACATTTTGAATAGTTAAATATGTGTAGTATTAGATTCAGTGTTGAAAAAAGATAACTCAAGTACATTTTGAAGAGTTACAACAAGCAAATGTCACCCATTCGGTGGAATGGCCCTTTTACATTGAAGTTGGTTGAAAGCCATGTGCGTGTCATCTATACGCAAAAGGGTGGTATATGCGTGGGCAGAAAACGCCGAAGGACGTGACAAAACGGCCTTATATGACGGGTTGGGACATACGAACGCCGATCCAAGCCTGCTGTTCGCGCTCACCTTATCACAACTTATAGCTCGTTCACATTCTCACCAGCGCACTTGGATCGGCGTTCGTAGATTGACTGGTAAAGGCTGTATTTCAAAGATGGCTTCTGCCTGTATACGCGAAGTTGACTGTATGTTTAAAATATCTTCTTATTAAACTGTCTGGACACTTACAAAGTTCTCAATGCTTCGGTTTGAAGGTAGGGACCCTCATTATGCTATACCGTGTTAGTGTGGGTCTATTTTCAGCCTTGTTAGTGGTATTAACAAGCGATTTTTATTTGTCATTACACTATGCCCAATATACTAGCGTTATACTAGCTTTATAGGCTAAACTGTTTTTAGAGATAAAACTATTTACATTCGATAATCATGAAAACAAATCTCAGATAACGGTTGACTAGGTAACAATGTGTAATTAGACCAAAGGTTCATTTTGCGCCGGAGTTCTCCTTTAATATGAAATAAATTTATTTTAAATACAATTCAGTATATTTATTTTTCACTAGGTTATCTACGCCGGCCATAGCGCTGTTAAATTCTTTATTCTGATTAGCTAACAGACATTCTAAGGGTTTCTGTAACTGCCCAGTAGTTATAGGACAGGTGGGCAAATAATAGGATTGAATTACAGGAGCAGTTGCCATACAATCGTAGGACGGTACAGTGCACACAGATATATTGTGGTATTTAATTAATATTGCAGTACAAACTTGGCAAATGCAACACATGTGAAATGAAACAGACACTAGAAAGGCAAAATTACAGCTTGTGGGATATTCAATAAATCTGAAATGTTTTCGAATACATGCTTAAACTTAAATTATATCTTATTTATCGATTCTTAAAATAAGCAGTAGTTACATTTTTCATACATTAATGGCTTAAGAAATACAAGATGCATAACCATTTTTACAAGTGTTATTGTTTGTGTGTATGATAAAGGTAATGTGTGTTTTTGGTGTTAGATAATAAACAAATAAAACATTGAATTAAGTTTATGTTTAAAATAAGTGGGGGACGAAATATCTGCAAATAGACCAAGACAAAATGCAAAAAAGCAAGAATCAATATTTTATTCCATTTGCTTCTCAGGTAAATTAATGTTGTTTTAAGAATGTTAAGATATTTTCTTGCTAGGAAACTTACAAATATGATTTGCAATGTAGCCTGAAATATTGTTAGATGTTTTATACGAGTATTTAGTCATTACGGACCCACAGCTCACAAGAACATTAAATTACACACATAGCATCTTTATTAACTTATCAATCAGACATCTGAAAAATATTATGCCACATTATTTAATCAGGATTTAACAAAGGTATTCGACATATTCAGTCAAATTCAAAACTGATTTCCCTGTGGAACCCTAATGTGCTTTTGACTCATTGACAAATCGTTCACAATGCTTTGTTAAACCAGTTTGACCAGTTTATGTCTCAAACCAAAGGGATAGGGAAATTATGCTTTTTTTGTGAAACATGATGTTAAATTAAACTTGCTAGAAGTTTGGACGAACTTCTGCATTGTTTTTAGCTACGTGAGAGAAGCGAATTTTTTTAACTTGGCCTGCACTGATACTGATGTCTCGCCACAGATATTCAGGAGAGAGAAGTTTACTGGGTTTGTTATAAAGGAAATACTTGTTCAAGTGAGACTCCTCGTGCCATATCGCCTCAATGGAGTTTGCAGCATCAATGTTCAGCTGTTCCCAGCAGGTTTTGGTGAGATGATGTACATCATCCAATGAGCCACCAAATGCAGCAGCAGTGTAATAATAATCACCTTCCCCAGCTGGAATGAATGCCTGAGACTCTGGTCTACGCTCATATGAGAACTGATCTCTTGGATAATCAAAGAACCAAGGATGTATCACACCGACCAGGCGACCCAAAGACTCCGCCCCCCAGCGGCCATAGAACTTTGTATCCATGTCCAGGCAGAAAATATAGTCAGCTTCATTGGCCAGTTCGTTCTTTATTAGTTTTTCTAGTATTTCCATCCTGCCCATACTTATATCCTGCCATCGGTCCAAACTCGGAACCCTCCGAACTGTCAAATGATGATTTTCACCCATCTTTACTTCAGGAACTGCTTCTGGTTGATCCGTAAACAAGTAGTAATGCACTCGAAATCCAACAAAGTAATGCTCCTCCGCTGACTCCAGAAAATCTTTGAGGAAACGTGTGTATCTGAAAAAGAGTGAGGAACAGATATTGAAAAAATATACATTTTACGTGTGTATGTTTTTTCAACATTTATAATAATAGAAATATTTCTTCAGTATCAAATCAGCATATTAGAATGATTTCTGTTAGACCATGTGACGCTGAAGACTGGAGTAATGGCTGCTGAAAAAGATCTGACATCTCAAATCTACATCTCTCTGATTCTGCCTCACAAAAATGCAGTATTAGAGATATAGATTTGACTCTGTGTGTGAAGAACAAATGGCGTTATCTATGTGGCTGCATTTACTTGTGGCTATGTGCAAATGCAATCATGCATGCTTCAAACAAAATGAACAAGTTTTACAAAGGTGATGCAAATTTGGTTCTGTTGTTGTAACAGGAAGCCAGCATGAGAATGTGAATATGGGGTGTGATTTGGCCCAAAATACTTCCATACCAAAATCTAAAAACATCACAAAGTCACCCAAGAATATTAATAAATGATAGACAGAGAGAAAAAGAGTTATTTTGAGAGTTTGAGAAGTAACTTTATTACTTTCCCAAAGCGAAGACAGTGGTCGCTATAGTGATGTTTTGTTGTTTGAAGATAGAGTCAATCATTATGGAGTCAAAGGTTCCCTCCCAAACAACTGGGGCTAACCATGGTGTCATAGAAACAATGTCTGTCCCACTGTGTATTACACACACACACACACACACACACACACACACACACACACTGGTGTTTGTATCTAAGCATGTTTACACTGTAAACAAGTGAATATTTTCAACATTTTGTATTCTGAAAGTACATAGGCTATATGTAAGGGTTTTAAACAGTGAATTCTGTCAAGTCTTATTGTGCAAGTGTGCACATGAGATTTTTATGTATAAGTTGAAGAGAGAATTAATTTATGAGTGTATGCATTGAGTACTTACCCTAATTCGTCCATTTGTTTATTTCTGCAAACCAAAACACAATTATACAGGAATAGACTGTATAACACAAAATACCTTATCACAGCAGCACATAATCGAACTACAGTGGTGGGGTTTTGTGTAGTCTTTATACGTGACACAAGGCATGGTAATTATTGAACATGTAAAAGATTTTGGAGCATGCGTAGAACGAAACCGAGCTACAATTGTATTATCTATTTGTCTGACTTACACAATAATTGGACTGGTACGAACTAAAGCTGTTACATGTGACAATTTAATCAAACGAATTATTGTTTTATTCAGACTGAAAACGTAACGTATATACAGAAGGCTACTTACCTAAACCAACTGGTGTAACTCAATAAAATGAGCCTGTGAGAGAAGACAATCACATAAGCAAATATCTTTTGGAAATGTGTGTAGACACCCTCACAATCTTTTTAGTAGACAGTTTTAGGTTTTAAGATTTTCCCTTGTCAATGGTCTGTGGAGGGAGGTGCTGAACCTTCAAAAATGTATTTGTCAACCTCAGGGGCTCAAACTAAATATTAGCCTTATATCCACAGCTCCCATATCATCCTAAATTGGGAAAGAAGGAAATCTATATAAATAAAATACTTACAGAGAAATAAAAGAACATAAATTATGCTTCAGACTGGTCAGCTTTTTAAAAAGGACTTCCATTCCATTGTGGTGTCGTCTTTAGATTTTGTGTTCAACAATATAATATGACACACAATTTGAGCCTTTAAAACCTTCCATGAATATTTTACACTTTAGAGTCCATTTATCTACATACATTAGTCTACATAAAATTACACATAATATTTCAGATGAAATTATTTATAGGCTACATACATACATACATACATACTAGGGGTGGAACGGTACACAGAAGTCACGGTTCGGTTCATACCTCGGTTCAGACATCACGGTTCGGTACGATTTCGGTACAATGGAGTGAATAGCAAAACAAAAATGCAGAAGGCTTTTTTTATAAATGTTTTAAGCCTTGTATTTTTTAAATAAGTTTTATTAATAAAGGCATAGAACCAGTTTATTTGTAGTGCACTGACAGTAGTTTTATATAATTCGTTTATTAATAAATTATTAAAAAGACGAAAAGTCCTTGAGATATGTTTGGTAATTGTACCTGAATGAATTTAAAATTATTTTGCTATTTCAGATCAATATATTTGTTTTCCTTCATTTTAATTAACCCTAACTTTATTCTCATCTGAATTATAAATAATTGATTTCCGTATAAAATAATACTACCATTAAAAACTTTTTGTTGTAGGTTACAGTTTGACAAGAGTTTAGAGTGTGACAAAGCACAATGTTGTGTTTTATTGCGAGTGTACACAAATATAAGTAAACACTTTGCAGTTTTAATGATGTCCTGTATGAAAAAAATGACGGAGTATGTTTTTATGTTTCTGATGTTCGATCGCCCGTGCCTCTCTCTCACACACACACACACACAGACTGTTCGATCGCGCGATTCGCGCCCGCCCGCGCGCACACACACACACACACACACACACACTGTTCGATCGCGCGATTCGCGCCCGCGCCCCTCTCTCTCTCTCTCTCTCTCTCTCTCTCTCTCTCTCTCTCTCTCTCTCTCTCTCTCTCTCTCTCTCTCTCTCTCTCTCTCTCTCTCTCTCTCTCTCTCTCTCTCTCTCTCTCTCTCTCTCTCTCTCTCTCTCTCCTCCTCTCTCTCTCTCTCTCTCTCTCTCTCTCTCTCTCTCTCTCTCTCTCTCTCTCTCTCTCGAAAAAATTTTGTACCGTGTATTCTCCGTGCCGTACCGTTTCGGTTCAATACGAATACATGTACCGTTCCACCCCTAGTCTCTATAGCACGCATTGTGTTTATCGTGCAATTTATACGCGAAAATGAGTTTTTAAGTGCATATGATACGCATGGGTAGGTTTAGGGTAGGTTTAGTAGTGGTGTCGGGTGCATGTGTATTATACGTTTGGTTAGGATTAGTGGTGTGGGATGCGTGTGTATTACACACAATAAAGTGCGTATCAAATGCATGCGAAAACTGCGTATCATATGCACGTAAAAAGAAAAAAGGCAAAATGCTTTAAGTATTTTTTCTAAATGTGTCAAATTGTGTTAGTCACTAATTTCACCACAAAGTATGAAAATTACATTTAGTAAATAGATTCAAAACAAGTGTGAGAATATCAGCTACAGATTTCCAAAAATATTTTACATACCCACTCAGTGATAAGCCAACAAACATGCCAAAAAGGAAGAAATGAACACTCTGACGGAGTCGCATTATTGGCGTATCATGCAGCTGGGTCTGGTGTCTGTATTCACTTGATGGATTGAACTGGAAAATGAGAGTGAAAATATCTGACAAGAAGAGTTTGTTGTCATGTTATGGGAGAGATTTGAATGTCAAACAAAAGCCTGGCTAGGGCGGACCTTTACAAACAAAGCAATTATAAGTACTTAAAAACAGACATAATGCAACAGCCAATGACTGTTCCACATCCTTCACTCCATATACTCCAAAACGTGATCTTCGTTCTTCGGAAACTGGTCTTTTAACTGTTCCCTCAACTCGTTTGAGATTAATGGGAGATAGGGATTTTTCTTCATTAGCTTAAAAACTTTGGAATTCTCTACCGATTGAGATCAGGCAAGCCAAATTATTTTGGTATTTTAAATCTCACCTTAAAACTAATTTTTGTTAGGTTAGCTTTTAATTGATTTATTGTCTTTTATGTTTATTGTATTTTGTGTTTATTTTTACTGTGCATGTCTCTCTGTGTGTTGTATCTTTGCTCTTTTAATTGTTTTTGTACAGCGCTCTGAGATGTACATTTAAAGGCGCTATAGAAATTAAAGGTTATTATTATTATTGTTATTATATTTATGCAGTATAGAGTAAGTGTTGAAATAAAACCGTATAACCGTACAAAGTAGGCACCTATCGCAAAGTTTAAGAACTGGTTCTGTGTACGGTTTCAATACGACTTGGGACTAAATTGGCCCATTTTTAGCATATAAAAGTATACTTTTACACTTAAAGTAGTCAACTTTGAGTACACAACTAGTTTACAACTAAGTTTTTCATTTGAACTGCAACTATACTACAAGTGAACTTATACTGATAGTTTACTAGTAAAATACTTGTAGCACATTTTTAGTTTACGAAAGTACACTTTGAAGTATACTCTCAAAAAATACTAATTAGTACTTGTAAGTTTTCTTTAACTGAACATAACATCATACTTATAGTTTACTATTTATATATTATTTTGCACTTTAAGTAAGTTTTGTTCCTATTAAAGTATTACTTTTTTATACTTGAGAAATATCTACTGTACTTTAAATCTTTCCATTTAAAAATTTTTTTTTCTAGCTTCAGGCATTCTTTTTTTAATCAACACTTGAATGTAGGTATAAATTTCATAAAAACAAAACACACTTTTTTGTTAAAGACAATGTCCGGATCGGATTCAGAACAATGATCAAACACAAATGGAGTAGATCATCCATCAACACCCCCAAAGCTTCAAAGTTGCTTTCCCTTCGTGGGATCGACATTTCATTCGGTAGGCTAATATTTAGCAGTTTTGATTTATATGCTGTTTAATGTTTGATGACGGCGTTATTTTATATTTGCGTAATTGTTTGTTTCATTCGTAATTTGTATTTTATCCTGAGATTATGTACTCTTTCAGAAGACGGTTAATTGCGCCCCCTACCATAGAACATTGAAAATAGATAGCCCAAGTGATACTCGCTGCAGAGCCAAATGGGAGGAGCTAGAGCTCTAGCTCCACCTCGCTGGATCTAATGGGCGTGCAGGCGCAGGTATAGTCTGTTAGAACTAACTGCACAACTTCTATCTCACGGTAAGAAATCTGTACTTTAAAGATAAACTGAACTTTGAGATGTATATAAAATCTTAATCTTACATTTATCCTCTGACAAGGTATAATATTGTATAACTATATACTTTTGATTAAAACCTCCTACTGTGTATTTCCAATATGCAGGCAATATACACTCACCGGCCACTTTATTAGGTACACCTGTCCAACTGCTCGTTAACACTTAATTTCTAAGCAGCCAATCACATGGCGGCAACTCAGTGCATTTAGGCATGTAGACATGGTCAAGACAATCTCCTGCAGTTCAAACCGAGCATCAGTATGGGGAAGAAAGTTGATTTGAGTGACTTTGAACGTGGCATGATTGTTGGTGCCAGAAGGGCTGGTCTGAGTATTTCAGAAACTGCTAATCTACTGGGATTTTCACGCACAACCATCTCTAGGGTTTACAGAGAATGGTCCGAAAAAGAAAAAACATCCAGTGAGCGGCAGTTCTGTGGGCGGAAATGCCTTGTTGATGCCAGAGGTCAGAGGAGAATTATGGCCAGACTGGTTCGAGCTGATAGAAGGGCAACAGTGACTGAAATAACCACTCGTTACAACCGAGGTATGCAGCAAAGCATTTGTGAAGCCACAACACGCACAACCTTGAGGCGGATGGGCTACAACAGCAGAAGACTCCACCGGGTACCACTCATCTCCACTACAAATAGGAAAAAGAGGCTACAATTTGCAAGAGCTCACCAAAATTGAACAGTTGAGGACTGGAAAAATGTTGCCTGGTCTGATGAGTCTCGATTTCTGTTGAGACATTCAGATGTTAGAGTCAGAATTTGGCGTAAACAGAATGAGAACATGGAACCATCATGCCTTGTTACCACTGTGCAGGCTGGTGGTGGTGGTGTAATGGTGTGGGGGATGTTTTCCTGGCACACTTTAGGCCCCTTAGTGCCAATTGGGCATCGTTTAAATGCCACGGCCTACCTGAGCATTGTTTCTGACCATGTCCATCCCTTTATGGCCACCATGTACCCATCCTCTGATGGCTACTTCCACCATGTCACAAAGCTCTAATCATTTCAAATTGGTTTCTTGAACATGACAATGAGTTCACTGTACTAAAATGGCCTCCACAGTCACCAGATCTCAACCCAATAGAGCATCTTTGGGATGTGGTGGAACGGGAGATTCGCATCATGGATGTGCAGCCGACAAATCTGCGGCAACTGTGTGATGCCATCATGTCAATATGGACCAAACTCCCTGAGGAATGCTTCCAGCACCTTGTTGAATCTATGCCACGAAGAATTGAGGCAGTTCTGAAGGCAAAGGGGGTCCAACCCGTTACTAGCATGGGGTACCTAATAAAGTGGCCGGTGAGTGTATATAAAAAAAGCAACGCATGCCTAAAAACATTCTAATGTTTGTCATTTCCCACAGTAAAGTCCCACAACTAGTCATCCAGGAACAAAAACCACCAAATCCAGATGACATGGAAGTCACTCCATTTCGGATGTCACGGAGATCACCTCGTACTCGGTTACTAAAGTAACCTTGGTTCCCTGGGAGTAGGGAACGAGTATTGTGTGGGAAACTCCTTTCCTCGAGAATATTGAAGCCTATATTTTAAAACGCAGTGCAGCTGCACAGGAAGCACAGTAGAGCGTCTAGCTCAACCATTGGCTGTGCTGCAGCAACTGCACATCCTATGGCGAAGTGGTTCAGACGCCAGGCAGCTTCGCACCTAAGCAGGTCAGAGACTGTTGAAGATTTTATTATTTAGAAAACAAGTAATTTAGGCTTATAAGAATACACAATTATTTCTTGTATGAGTCCAAAAGGACTCTGTCTAGGTGACTTTGAAAGCTGCAAGACCTTCTGTAAAAAGACCCTGAATGTCAATTCTATTCTGAGAAGTCACATGGTACAAGACCTTAACCCAAAACTATCTATAAGTGTATGACCATCTTTGGAAAAGGATGTATGGATATATGTGAGAAGCTGGGCACTGATCAGGAGTGATCGCCTGCAGGAGGAAGGGATCTCTTGCTGGAGGGAGTGATCCCCTGCAGGAGATGCTCGGCTTTGTTTGTTAATAAAGTCTAATATTTCTGGCATCAAAGATCTCTGCGAAGTTATTTTACAGAACAATTGAAACCACTTCAAGACCTGCCAGAATGGGCGCGGCTTATGGCTATATAAGCCCACCACTTCACCATTGCATCAGGTAAAATCGACTGAAGCGAAATTGAAATAGTGTGGCAGGCTACGCAATACACGTTCCCTACTCTCAAGGAACCAAGGTTACGTTAGTAACCGGGTACATTCCCTTTCGAGAACGGTCACTTCGTATTGCGTAGCTAATACACAGTGGGGATGCAATGTAAAACGCTGCACTATTAGCAACTGGAGCCTAGGGCAACAACCCGAGGTTCACAGTAAGGCCGTGTGTCCACCAAAGCATTTTTAGCCAGCTGAAAACGCAGGACGCTCTACTGAAAACGCCTAGCTGTGGGCGCTTGAGAGCGTTTTGGCAGCACAGCGTTTTTTTCCGTTGAGACGTTTCGTTGCTATGATACAGAATATCCGCAGCACAGTTTACTTGTAACTGATTTCGCAGATAATTTGTTTCATATTGAAAATTTATTTTTCATCCATTTTGTTCGGTTGTGCGGCAGCTTCTCGTATCCTTTTTCCGCGGCACAATCAACAGCAGAGAACGTCGCGGAAGTAGGAGAGCTTGTGCGTGCCGAGTAAGGGGCGCACCATTACTTTGTGAGCTCTTCGTATACCTCAGGGAAGAATGGCGCTGACTTGTGGCGGGGGGCCTGCTGGCGCCCAGGCACAAACCATCCGTCTAGTTGGCTTCTAGTAGGCTCCTAGGCCGGGGTGAGGGGTAAGTAGGCCGGGGAGAGGATGCAAAGTCCCTCCTTCATCCCCAGCTCCTCCTCTCGCCCAGTCAGGATTTGGCATTCTGATTCCCCTTGAATCAGAATAAATTCTCGAATTATGTTGTACTTTAAAATGTTGAACTAATGATATCTGCATACATTCATGTTGGTTCTGTTCTGTTTACCCTAAGGGGGGTTATTGCTGCTCTCTCTGCTCTTATCCATGCTAGGCTGCATGGATACGCAGGGGGTTCTTTTTTTTATTAGATCAGATAGCATTTTAACCTGTCATATGGGCATGTTACAATATGCCCCTCACATGTTACAACATGTTGTCACATTTCACTTCCATTCTTTCAGGGTAAATCAAGAAAAAAGTATACACTGTATTAATGAAACAAAAGTCAAGTCACCTTCATTTATCTAGCGCTTTTAACAATATGGGCTGTTTCAAAGCAGCTTTACAGTGATAATAGGAAATTAACAGAGATTGTTTTGGCTTTACAGCAGCTCTAGAATAAAGTTATTGTCCAGCTAAAGTTAGTTTTGATCGATAAACCACAAAGGATTATAATTAATTGCATATGTAGACTATA